AACAATGTTACATTATAACTTTCAATAACGTATGTACATTTAAATTTACTCAGTTTAGAAAAATGAGTACATTTCAGTAAACGAGACTGCAGTAACCCAGAAATATATTAAACTAAAGGCGGACAAATACCCCATCTGACATTATCTGAGCGGAGCCAATGACTGCACGAGGAAGAATTACCCCTCCCCAACTATAAATGTGTGTATGTCAGGAAACTAGATTCTCTTCAGCATATATACAATGCCGATTATTTTTGTGTTTATATTTACTCTTTTCATTTCTCTTCATCGTAGTGTATGTGTGGCTAGACCTGCGTCATCCGTCGTGCAGTCGAGAGAAGGAACGCAAACGGCCTTGCCTTAGGCTGCCGCGGGCGCTGCGAAGGACATAGGACAGGGCACGGGACTGGCTCCACCCAGAACACTCACCGTTTCCAGTCTCCACCGGCGTCAGGCCAAAGCGTTGCTCCTCTTCTGCCAGGGGTGCTATGCTACCCAACCCTGTGGTTTGGAATCTACTCTACGTTACTCTAACGGAACTGTAGACCGTTATCCCTGTTCATAATTCTGAGCGACTGAAAACAATATGCAAATGTTCTATATAAACCTAGTAATTTATTGATATTCTAAAATTCTAATCTGTTGAATCAATTCTATTTACTACATTTCTGGTTCGTATTTGAGATGCTTGTAGTCTGATCAATGATTTTCTGGGAATTAAAACTTTCAAACTAAACTGCCAAATATTCTCTAATTCAAAATTATGAAAAACTAGTATAATGTCGTAATGTTAATGTTTTAAATGATTGATAATTTCACCGTTTTAACATGCTCAATGTTGGTTCTATTGATTTGCGTACAGATTTTATCCAACAGTTTTCATTAAAGATATGCAATATGACTATGAAAAACGTCTCTTTTCGTTTCCTTAGCGATTTCTGGACTTTAAAAAGAGTGCAACTACACTTTCCGGATTTTAAACGGTTTTCTAACTACCTGGCGGGAACAAGGGAAATTTAGGAACGACGAGAAGAGACGGCGTCGTGAAGACCAAGGCCACGGTGATGATAAGTCCAGCTATGAAGCACAAAAGCACGTCACTACACACTTCTGATGTTTCACAAGCACTTTTCCTACACACGCATTTCTTAGCAACGCAACGGCTCATTTGAGCTCAAACACTTGCGCACCAAGCACAATTTTCACAATTCTTGAGAGCTCATCACTTCACAACACTTTATACATGTGAGTCGTAAAATCACTTATCGAAGATCTGCTTCAATGCTACTCAACTTTTCACGAGACACTTCGCAGAAATATTAAAAGATATGAAATTTCTATTTAAATCTTCTTTTACACCCACTTTGCACAAATATTAATCTGCTTTGAATTGCAGTGTATATCCTTTTTCATGTCACACGTATTTGTTCTAGAAACTACGAACACTGAAAAAGAGAATTTAACCACAGTCACTTCGCGAACAATCACAAATAACCTCTCCACAACCCGACACGAAATGGGCGAGTGTTGGGCGGGTTCGAGCACTGGGCAGAGCTGGAGGCGGTGCAGCGATTGGCTACCGCTTTTCCAGAGAGTGAATAGCAGGGTTGTTACTAATATAACCACAATAATTCTCAATTTATTTTAATATTTATAAATTGGATGATTGAAAAGAAATATAATGTTTAATATTAATAAACAGGTGGATCAACATATGTATTATAATATATTTATGATCTATTTATTTTAAAAACGTTTGTGGGAAGTGTATCGTCTACTTCTAGAGAAAAAGACGTAACTTTTATGACTTGTTGTCATAAGTAATTTATTCTTATCATCAAGACAGTAATTTATTTCTGCTAAAGAAAATTAATGGTGTTAAAAAAGAAACAGACTTACTCGTACTATTTACTTCCTTATTATTTTGAGTCGAAACTACCTGCTGTCATTATTTTGACATTTACTTACTTTTTTAGTTTCCTAATAGTAGAGTGAAATTAAACATGATCATAAAAAATTATAAAAATTCGTCCTAAATGACAATATTCTTTGAAATTTTTGGAGACGTTTTAAAGGAAATGACATTTACGCGCTAAAATTTCGAAATTTGAAGCTCTTTTTTACAGACAATTTTTGAGTTTTTGAAAATATTCATTAGTCATTTGAAGCACATTTACTCACAACTACAATATTTTTTACAATTTGCTGGAAATGTGCACATTAACGCCGTGAGAGACCTTTCAAAAAATATCTTTGTGCAATCTTTGTATATATTTGTGTAATTTTTTTAAAACCGAAAGACTACAGCAAAAAGGAATTTTATGCCATCATACAGAGTTTAATTTGCAGTATCCATACGAAAATTTGAAGAAAAAAATCAGAGCGTTTTGTAGAAAATGGCGTTTGAGCGTTTCTCAAAATGCGAAATTTTGATCTAGTTTTTACAGAAGCGGTTGACATTTTGAGAAACTTTGTCTGGCATTATTTAAAGCACATGTACTCATAAATAAAATAGCGAGAATAAATTGCCGCTAATGTAAATATTAATGACGTGAGAGATAAGTCAAATAAATTACATTTTTGTAATTTTTGAAAAACAAAAAGAGTAGAGAAAACTGATTTGTATGTCATCTCATTGAATGCATTTAGCATTATCCTTACCTAAAGAAAAAATGTAAAGACTTTTTGAGAAAATCTTGTTTGTTTTTTTTAAATTGCACATGTTGTACGCAATATTGCGCGAAAACTACTATGAGTTTCAAGAAAAATTATATAGCGCTAATGATAGAACACATTATGTAGAACAAATTTCATTTGAAGGGTATATCATTATAACTGTATATAACTGTCTTTTACTCTATTATTAAGAAAATAAAGTCAAAATTTGGAGCTGTTTTTTGTACACATTTGAAAATGCGTTTCAAAATCCCAAATCTTCGACTCGAGCCAGATGGACAGGGGTTTCTTCGATTTGGAGAAAATCCTACGTATGGTTTAGCCGTGTTCACACACGGAGAGACAGACAGAAGGACAGACAGACGTTTTGCCGTGAATTGGTTTTTCGATATCAAGGATCCACAAATCAAGGATTCTGGCTATATCACATGTTACAGGATTGTTTCTCAATTTAGCAACTGGATTTATCCACATTTTCGTTATCAGGGCTCTAAAATGAAATTTTGTCTGCCGAAAATCCGCCATTGTTTCGCGCAACATAAATAACTTTCCCTTATTACTCCGTACATACGTACGTGTACGGAAAACTAAGAAGGGAAGCAAACTCTTTGGACAATATTACGCAAAAAAAGTACTCAAATTTTCAAAAAAAAATGTACATGACCTTACTCGTATTTCAAAATCTATCTTTAAGGAACAGATTTTATCAAGGGAAAAATCTCTATCTTTAATAATTTCGCTGTAAAAAGACGCCGAAAAAATTTTGAATTTTTGAAAAAGTAGGGTTTTTACGAACATGAGACCTACACCATTCTCTTAAACGTCCTCATTACGTTTACAAACGTCACATTATACAACAGCACAGTTGCAACATTATTTTGAAAAGTTGGAAATTGTCCCAGGGACTTCATGAAAAGAACCTCGAAAAATTAAAATATCAGTTAGTAATTAAAGATGCCGTGACATCGGAATGATCGATAAGGAAATATCAACTTTGGAGAAAATTCGGTTGAACGATTTAGCCGCTAGTGTTGTTCACAGAGGGATAGATGTTTTCCCGTCAATCGATTTATCGGTAGCAAGGGCACAGAATACATGAGTTTGATAACACCACGTGAGAAAATGTATTTCCGAAATTAAGCAACAGGATGTGTCCACGTTTCCATTATCAGGGCCCCGCAAAAAGAGTATTTCTGTAAAAAATGTGCCACTTTTCCCCCAGCATTACAAACTCTATTGCGTAAGCGATAGCAAGAAATCAAAGACACTTTTTCGGTACCCTGGACCCGCAGTTCGTGAAATTGGACTACACAATGTGTTAGGGGAAGCGATTTCCTGCATATTGTAACAGGATTTATCTGCTTTGTGTGTATCAGGGCACTCAATACGGATTTGACTGTTGAAAAATGGATGGTTTTTTGCGATACATACCTTTCGCTACACTACGTATATTACTCAATACATATGTATTTGAAAAAGTAAAAATTGAACTTCTACGATTTTTGAAAAAACACGCGGACGTCCACGATAGTACGTTCTGTTCCATTCACTTCAACGTCCTTTTCTCTGTCCGAGGACAAAGTTGGGTCCAACAAATTGGAGTCCTTGAGAATAATTGTAAATGTTATTGAGGATTTGCATAAAGTACCTACCAAATCAAAATAACCATTTCAATTCAGAGAGCCTCGAGTTTATATACATTGATCAGGGAATAATAATTTTGGAGAAAATAGGATGTACGGTTTAGGCTTCAGTGTTGACCACAGACGGTTAGGCCAACGGACAGAGAGTGGTTTTGTCGTGAATTGATTTTTCGGCATCAAGTTTTTCAAATAATGTGTTCTGATTATAGGAAATGGTAAATGAAGCAATTTACTATAGTAGGAATAAAATTTATCTATTCTTTCGTTACCAGGCCTTGGCATTCTGAGTTTTTCTCTCAAATATTCGCCGTTTTATGGCGCGTGATTAAATTACTGTTTCTTCTGACGATGTAAGAGTGTGAAAGAAAAAATTCAACTCTATAGCTAAATAAAAACCATCCGTAAGCTTAAATATATATTTATCAACATTTATCACCATAAATGAAGATCCACAGCAACACTTGCATGTTTTCAAAGAAGAATAAGCAAGTATTTCAGTTGGAGCGAAATTCATGACAATCATTGTGAGATTAAATTTCTTTCGAAACCGCAGCGTACTATCTACGTATGTGACCGCAATATAATGTTCTTGTGGTTCAATTACCTAACAACAGCAGCCTCAATGTATTATAAATGTGCTCCTGAAGAGCTATGAGGTGCGTTGTCCTCCAAGCCGTCGACATGCGTAAACTTACGAGCTTCTTCTGTTTGTTGGCTGTCGCCCTAGGTAAGTACATCAGTAGAAACAAACCCAATTAATTCATCGCGTACTTCTCGTGCAAAATAAATTTTACTAAAAAATCGTTTCCTGAATTTTGTAACACGTACTCACCAAATTTAGAGAAAAGTTTTCTCGGGTAACTGACACAATAACTGACTACAGAAGATAATAAATTTACGAACACCTATCATCTAGATCCGTGGTTTTTATACTCTTTTGCTACCAAGAATCCCTTTAAGTAACAAATTTTGAACAAGCCTCCCCCCATTAAAATTAAATTACTAACACTTAAAGGTATTTTCCTGGACATAAGAGCATCATGTATACCTTTTTTATTATATACTTACTGTGTCAAAATAAGTATTGCAAGTTATTTGCATTATCCACTGTTCTAGCCATTGAAATTATTTTTTGTCAAAGTGAGGAAACCTGTAAGTATAACTACAAAACATACTGACGGATCAAAACAATTGGTGACAAGAACGGGCCTGTTTGGTTCAGACAGTTCATCTAACTCGGCACTAATTTAGAAATGGCGAAACTATTTTCATTCGGGAGATTTATTCTTGTTCTGTATTGTTTTGATTACCGCCATGGCTGAATATCCTCTTTTAAACAGGTAAGAAGAGGCAAAAGGAAAATAATATGAAAGGGACTCTTATTTAACTCTGGATTCTTATCTCTTACAGAGCACCAAAATTCGATGTTGCAGGAATGAATCACGTCCCAACACAGTGTCTCGCTTTTATTGCCCATTTTGCCAGAGATCGTTCACAATAACTCATTGTTGATTATATTGCTTTCATTGACGCAATACGATCACATAGTATTCAAATTTTGTCTCTCTTAATCATTAAAACTAATGAACGCACATACATAGTCTGATTGTTATTTATTTATGCAAAAAAGTAGAGCATTAATAAACATTAGAAAACTTTTCAAAGAATGAAGAGTTTTAACAAACATGAGATCTTGTTCTCTTTGGCGTCCTTTTGCTCCAGTCGGTAGGTACTGAAAATGGAAGGTTTCCTGGAAAAAGGTCATAAACAAATCTGTGCCAAAATACACATGTTTATGAGATTATAATCAACCTATGATAAATATAATATCTATGACATGTAATACTATTATGTATCTCATCGTCAGTGTAAGCATTGCCTCATGAATTAACGAACTGCCATTTCTTGGTTAATGCAGCGGTGACTTCCATGTCTGATGCGTCTTCGGGGCCTGAAGTGAACACGGAATCCGAGGTGGCACCCGACAACTCGTACTCGGCATGGACTTACTTTCACTTCCTGAATGATTGGGCCAAGGAGACAGTGGAACCCGATGAATCTCTCGACGATGACATTGATCTCCAGACCGAGGAGGCCAATGACACCGAGGTCATCTCCCCTTCGGAAGGACACAGGATTGCGGGTGGATATGAAACGAATATAAGAAACCATCCCTACCAGGTAACAACCCCTTCAGCTTTTTTTATTAAAACCAAATGACTGAGTGTCATACAAAAGAAAATCTAATAAATTATTTAAACAACAATTTTTAATGTTCTAATTATACCAAAGTATATTTTAGGGATATGGTACTGGATCGTAGTAATAATTGACTAAATTACATGCTGTTTCTTGTAGGTTTCTGTGCGGAAACGTTTACTTCGTAAATCAAGCTATTGTAGCGGCTCCATCATCAGCAAAAACTGGATATTGACTGCTGCTCACTGCACGATGGGGTGAGTATGCATCCAAACGTTTAGAAACATGTTGACGCTGTCGAGCCCAAAAATATATAGAAATGTGTGTTCTGCGCAGCGCTCCGTCTCAGTTCAGGGTTCGTGCGGGCAGCAGTTGCCGCAGATCGGGAGGCGCCCTCTACAGGGTGACCAGCGTGTACAGACACGACGACTACGATTCGAAGAAGCACGACTACGACATTGGAGTCATGCGCGTAAGACTCGAGTTCTTAAATTTCAGATTAATTTCTAACTTGTCAATGTAGTAGGCTCTTTAATTCCTTCCTCCTGTTTTGCAGTTACCCCAAACACAATGAGATTCTCTGCATTAAAACATTGCCTATTCCAATAGCCTTTAATTTCATCCTTAACCAGATGTTTCGCACAAACCTTTCAATTATTCATGTTTATGTACATCAAATATCAGTGTTGTGTGTTATAAAGGTTTTGTAAATATTCTATGGTGTACTTACCTTCATGACAATTGCAGATCGACGGAGCCTTTGAATATAACGATTTCGTTCAGCCCATACCACTGGCTACGTCTTTGCCAAAACCTGGTACCCCAGTGATCGTTGCTGGCTGGGGACGCACCTCAGTAAGTGCAACGGACTTAAAGTTTTTGTTGCAAGTAAATCAGCTTCTAATAGATTGGTGAGATAATGCGGACTTTGTTCGCAGAGCAATGGACCGTTCTCTGAGAGTCTGCTGGCCATGAAGCTGAGCGTCTCGACGCCAGCCTCCTGCAGGGGCAGCTTCCCCTACGTGACCTCCCGCTTGTTTTGCGCCGAGGACCGCGACGGAGGGGGCAGCCCGTGCAAGGGCGACTCTGGGGGGCCCCTGGCGTGCGTCGGGGTGCAGGTGGGGCTCGTGCAGGGGGGCAAGCATTGCAGCCCTGACCTGCCCTCACTCTTCACCAGCGTTCCCTACTTCCGCGGTTGGATCAGGAATATCACTGAGGTCTGAAACTTAAGGTTTACGAGACGTTATGTTTCAGATGGTTCCTCTCTATCAATTTATTCTTTTATAATTTCTCCTATGGAATTTATCTATTTGGTTCAATAATTAGTCTGTTAATTTTTATTCAGTTTATATATAAATATCATTTTCTAATAATAAATGAAAATCGCTCCCTCGCTCTCGCCTCGGAGATCAGCTCCTAGTTTCGTCACGTTATTATCCCGCGCCGCCAGCTCGTCCTGTCCTGCTCAACCCCATCACACAGCAACGCACAGCAACAATCAATCCCAGGAGGACTGGGAATTGCATTTAACTAAAACACCATCTTCTGCTGCACCGCCATCTAGTGGAGAGTTGCAACAAAGTGAACAGCATAAAAACCATCAACGTGAAAAAACAAAATAAAAAGCAACCTATGAAATTTCGTATATATCAGTCAAACTGTGAGGGAATGCATCGATCTCGGATATACCAACATCCATTTTTATATAGAAGGCAAAACATTCGTCTTTTACATAACAAGAATATCAAAATTTGCTGTTCTATGACACAATATTTGAGGAGCACATTTTAATTGGTAGGCGTCCTCGTCCTCGGAGGCTTCTTTTCGATGACTCGAGCAGCGCCGTGCGCAGTGACGCACTGAGTGTGCGAATCCTGTCATTAGGCGCAATGTGAAAAGTGGCGGAATGACACAATGACTTCTTAGCTATCCGGGTGACGCCGCGTAGTGAGACTTCGTCACCACCTGCAAGGTAGCCTGCGATGTGACAGGCGAAACGTCGGCCTCTCAGCCAACGACGCGGCGTCACCCGGACAGCCAAGGAGACATGGACTCGAGCCGCGGAAGCGTATGTGTACGGAATAACACAATATTAGGTTTGCATTTTCAGTTTGTCATTTTTGAAGTTTCTAAGTATTAAATGAAATGATAGACATCTGTCACGTTGAAGATGATCCATAATTTTCTTTTCAATTTCTGAGTGAACTGAAAAGTAGTATTGCAGATGCCATTAAAATTATTTTTATTAAATTGTGAATCATTGAGTACTTACCTGGTAGATAAGAAAAAGTTCAGGAAGAACATATGTAAGTCATTGTTCGCACCAAGTTATTTCTCAAATATCTTAAGGTGGTAGTTAGTATTAGTGTTAATTTGATCATGTATCAATAGCCAGATACTTCTTGAGACGTGAATTGTGCAAAAAAACGTGGTCAGTTTCACCAGACGTTATGTACAGCAGACTTGCGTTGCTGCAGCGGAACGCATTAAAGAGAATACGCTGCGCGTTCAGTTGCGTTCGCCAAAGGAAGGAAACGTCGCGGCTTTCAACATGTTGAGGTTCTTCGAAGTTAGAATTTACGGATATGCGGTGCACGTGCGGCGACAAGGTTAAGAAATAAAATTTTGCATCTCAGTTGTTCACTCAGGAACAATGGAGTTATATGAAACCTGGATTAAGAGTGGACAAATTGCATTTTCTGCATTGGTCGTCTCAAAGCGAAAAACGTTCCCGTATTTTTAGTCACACTCTCATTGTGGATATTTTGTTCATGTTTTTACAACCATGCAAGAGCTGAGGTGAGCATTTACGATCTTCATAAAATTATTTTCTGTCATATTTCGTTGGAACAAGAACCAAACATTTATAAGTCTATAGAGACGTCCAGGAGATAAAGAGCCATGGTATAGACGAGTTCGCCAGTTGACCAGAGTAATTTGAAATTAAATATTTCTTCGCCAATTGAGCATTATATCCAGTAATATACCAAGTTATTTGACTGATTGTTGGATAACTGTCTAGATAGTGAAATAAAAATAATAGTTAATGAAACCAAAGAAGTGGAGGTGAGAGCAAATATTCTTGAAAATTCCCCTCTTAATCAGAAAACATCTTGTTTTTACTACTTCATTTCCGCTGTGTATCCGTAACCTACTGATCCCTGACTTTATACTAACCTTGCAAAACTCAATAAGTCTGGGTGGAATTGATGGATCTTCAGGTCTTCAAAATCCAATCGTGTGGTGAACTTTCAATAGTCTTTTGGTAGACTATCCGAGCCATGCTTATATTACGTTTTCGTTTCCATACATCATTCAAGATGACTTTATTTAGTATCAAGATTTCCTTACAGCCGTACGAACCTTTTCGACATTGTTTTTGCTCAACTGACAGCAGATGGTTTTTATCTAGATATTTATACATTTGTTAGCCATAGCTGCCATTTGTCATTTTCAAAGTTCCTAGGTATAAAATGAAATCATAGGCACCTCAGACATGTCAGGAGGCCATATAACTTTGTCCCAATTTCGTCGTGAATTGGAAAGTAGTATTATAGATGTCATTAAAATTATTTTATTAACTTAAAACGCCAAAAGTCCTTCTACATGTAAGCTTATCGAAGAAAGGAAAACTTGGGTTACCTGATATTAAAAGATATAAATGGACATTTTAGTCACGACATGTGTATCAGATTATTTGTGATTTAAGGAGATGATATATGGCTTAAAATGTGCGACGGTGCCGAAACAAATTTGAAACCTATTTTCTCAGAAGATACACTTTGTTTCCTATTATGACATTTTTTTCAAGAGGAACACGTACAATTCAAAAGAATCGTTCTAACTTGAAAAATTCATCCCAACCCACAAACTTAATATCTATGAATGTGACCGCAAAGAAGTATTATGCGGTTTCCTGATCTTACAACATCCGCTCTAAAGCACTATAAAAGCTCCTAAAAGGAATGCAAGGTACTTTGTTCCAGAATCCGATATATCATACAATTCGTCGATATGAGTAGACACATAAGCTTCTTGTGCGTGTGGACTATCGCAGTTGGTAAGTACACAATTACAAAGAACACTAGTAATTCAAACTGTGTATGCTGACGTTGGTCAATCGGACGTTTACTAAAATATTGTGTCGTACATTTTACTATCATACACTTTCGGGAAAGTTAGGGAAAAGCGTTCTCGTGTCACTGAAATATACAGGCTAGAGAAATTAATTGAATGAACGACAAGACACATCTTCCAGAAAGGCACGAAGCGCTTCCATCATATTTAATTTGAAAGTGTATTTTCCTGCGTATGTAAGTGCGTTTTAAAATTTTTGCGTTACAGATGTCTCAGTTTCATGAATGCATCTTGTCAAATTCGCAATTTGTGTTACGAAATACATCCAAGGCGGTATCTCTCTTTCATTAACGCACGCATTTCATTCGTTAACCAGAGAGGGGGACACGTGCGAGCTTTCCTAATTGGAATGTGCCAATCAAGAAGTTCCGTCAGTAAGCACGTGTAGGTATTCACTTTCATGTATATACATGTTCTGAATTAATATGGTTGTAAAGCACAGATAAGCCGTTGGAGGTAAATGCTGCCGAATTGAAACTCTTATAGTCACGGTTTCATTTGATATGATAGGTGTATAAGATCATGTTTAGATATCCGGGATTTTAGATTTAGTCGGGAACTGACACCTATCCATGGTGATTTACTTTCTCGTGATTTGATACGATCCCATGGCCTACCATTGTGTGTATGTCGGCAGTGCGATGAGTAGCAAATAGCGGCAGAATAATAAAGTTTATTTCGCAAAAGAAACGCTTGAATTTCTCGACAAATGGGAATGGTGTTAGAAGATTGCAGTTAAAATCGACCATCAATATTATATTTTTATATTTGATTGCGCAAAATGAAACTACATTGCTCATGACCTCAGTATTTCCTGTTTTTTGGTGCGCAGTACACTATCGCTAAGGCGTATTTTTTGCCAAAAATTGAGACTTCGATGAAGAGGTATTCATTGGAGGTAACATCGCCAGTTGAAGATACTATACATTTATAAGCAAGATCTCGAGTATAATTACTGGCACTTCCATCTCGCGATGTAACAGAAAAGGTCGCTTGTAATGCTGGTACGCAAAGATAGAAGCTAACGTAACAACGTCGTGAGACTGGTGAGTCACGTGCTAGTCGAGTTTGCCGTCGAAGCGCAGCGAGGGCGACAATGAGGCGAGTGCCGGAATCACCTTCTGCTTATGTTGTGCAGACTATTTTTTAATTGGCCATGGGCTAATTACACTGAGTCACGTAAAGGAATATAAATCAAATATTAAATAACTAGAAACGCCTTACTTGTACAAAACAGAATAAATTCCAGTCACTATTGTTTGTAAATAATAAACAAAGTCATCAAGACGAAAGACAGTTGGGAATCATTACGGACGTTTCGCACACGCTTCGCGATGATTCACGCACTGTGAAAAGAATCGGTGTTTCACACACGAAAAACAAGCGGGATAATAGTTTCACACACACACAATAGTTTCACACACAATGGTTCTCGAAGTGTGGACCATCTTTAAGACAACGTTGATGTCCGAATGTCCGCGTGAATTGTGGCATGCTCTAACCAAGTTATTTCGTTTATCCAGCGGTGGCTTCCACGGCCGAAGTATCTCCGGTGTCTCAGGCCAACACCGAGGCCGAGATGCAAAGCAACTTCACAAATGCCCCGTGGACCGACGTTGGCCCCGAGTTTGAGGCGGCGAACGAGCTGCAGGGGGCCCTGGACGCCAAGATGGACTCGCAGATCGATGATGATCTCGAGAGCGCCTCTGATCTCCAAGGCAAAGAGAATAATAAGTCGGAGACGATTTCTCGGGGTGGCGGGCAGAAGATTAAGGGTGGGGAGCGAACGAAGATCAGATACCACCCCTACCAGGTAACCACCTCCTGTCTAAAAATCTCGTATACTTAAGAGAGGATCAGAGGAAAAATATACTACAAACAGAGAACAACAGATACTTCTTTTTCACTTTCAATGTTTAAAGGTTTTGATTATGCAAATATTATATTTTATCCAGATGTGTTCTAAATCAAATTTTTGCCACTACTTGTAGGTCTCGGTAATGTATTTTCAATACTTATGCGGTGGCTCCATCATCAGTAAACATTGGGTGTTAACTGCAGCACACTGCCTGAATTCCACGTGAGTATTAGCCCAGACTACTAGCAGTGTGATGACAAAGGTGAGTTCAAGAGCAAGTACATATGTGTGTGTGTTCTCAGCAATCCTTTCCATTACCATGTCCGAGCTGGCAGCAACTATTTCATGTTTGGAGGCACCATCTATGAAGTATCCAGAATACACAGATTTAAAGAGTTCAATCACAAGAACCGGGATTATGACGTTGGACTCGTGCGGGTAGGTCATTTGCTCCTAATTTTCTTTAAATTCCATTTATTTGCCAATACGCAATGATTTCATTAGTATTTTCGGACACGTCACTGCTGTATATTAGTCACGTGCAATGTGTGTATGTTATTTGACGGGAGGTTCTCCTCATTTGAGATTTGTTAACCGACGCTAACCTTCATGTGTCCTTGCATAATTTTCTCCTCCATGTATCACCCTTAGATTTAGATTAGATTTATTAATATTTCTGCAATTAAGTTTAAGAACTTGGTGGCAGTATTTATTTGGCTGTCCGGGTGACGCCGCGTCTATGGCGAAGGTGTCGACTCAGGGTGCAATACCCTGAGGAAGGTCGCAGAATGGCAACCGAAACGTCGTCACCTTCGCCATGGACGCGACTTCATCAGGACAGCCAAATAAATACTGACTCCGGACGCGGAAGCCTACGCTCTCACTTGGTGGCAGAATACACTAACCTAACATTACCGAACTTAACAACTTTTCAAAATCTACAAACTTTACAAACATTACTGAACATTTCACCGTGCAATCTTTCATAGCAGTCTACTTCTCCACACTTCACTTCACCGCACTGCGAAACATAATTAATAATGATGATAATAATAATAATAATAATGCTAATAATAACAATTATAATAATTAATTACATAGAAGACATAGTTACTTACACTGAATAATATTAAATATATTTATAACACACATATCAACATTCAGGAAACTAATTTATATTTAAATTTGTTCAGGCTTTGAGCATAGGGATCGAAGATTGTCACAGGCAAACCGTTCCAGTGTCTACTAGTTCGATTCGCGAATGAATATTTCCCAACGTTCGTTTTTTTATTTTTGTCTGAATTTTGTGCATGTGATCCACTCTGCCGAAATATGGTTTCCCTAAATTCTTTGAATTTCTTTCTTTGCTTCACCGGTTTTACACCAGTTAGTATGGATGAGCTTTGAATGTTTGTCTGGTCTACTGTCATGTTCGGTGTCTGGGTTTGTGTAAGGGGAAAGGAAATTTGAAGGAAGAGGAAAGAAGGATCGTGCGCAGTCCATGACCTGTTTCTAATAGGACTGCGCCGTCATTTGCCTAGTATTTATCGAATAAACAATAGAAACCTTTCGGCCAGAACAGCTATCTACAATAATTCTCCTCCAGGCTGCCGGTGAATTCGACATAGCTATTTAGTTAGTGTCGAAGATATTTTTCTTTCTCTATTATAATACATTCAGTATTCCCTTTCAAATGCTTAGAACGTACGTGTATGTGTCAACTGTGGCGCGTCCGTGAGGAACAGTGTGAAGACTGCCATGTTCTGCTGACAGTTGCTCCCGAACGCGCGTCAGCGCTTTTGGTGGCGGAAATTCGCTACCAGGCGCCGACTCGTGTGAATAAATGTGCCACAAATGTGAATACCTCCCTTTAAACCCATGTTTTGCCACAAAATCCGCCACGCTGAGTGGCGCCCTGACAAGACAAGAGCACAAATATTCTCGGTTACGATTGTTTACGTGAGCAACTCTAGCACAAAGAGGCCGCTATGTTTGAGAATGCTCTATTACTCATCAAACAAATGAACGAAAAACTCTCAATCGGGAGGCATAACTCAAACATTTGTGCAAACTAGTACGTCATACGTACTAAGAGAGCTCTCTTTTGGCACGCGCTGACGAGGTTCGTGCGTCGGGCCCCCAGACTAAGGGAGTCCCGCAGATGATAAAAATTATCAAACAATTCCTCAAATAAATTATTCTTGGTCTCTTAAGAAAACTAGAAGAAAATATATAAAATATTCTAAACTTCATTGAGTCTTTAAGCCCATACCTCTAATAATCTTTTATGTTTCGTTTGCTTACCATAAAAGGAAGGATTAACATATATTTTAATTTTTATATTTACTTTTCGGATGATAAACTATGAAAAAATTCACAATAAACTTTTCAGAACATACTTAGGGGTTCAAAATTTTGAGAGCCTCGGGGCCTTATCTGACTGAAAGACGGCCCTGTCTATGATGTAAACAGAATAAACATTTGACACAAGAATGCACGTTGCGAACCTCTCCGTAGTTGTGCAATTGAGAATGCGCGGGCACGGAAGTGATGTTAACAGGGGACAACAAGTGAAGCAGATTTAAGCTTTGTGATAGTATGGGGCGTGTACAGTTTGGATAGTATAGGACCCCTGACACACTTAGACACGACTGACAGGTGACACGTACGTAAGCATCCTGGCTAATAACCTGCACCCATTCATGTCCATTGTGCATCCTGTCGGACTTGGGCAATTTCAACAGAACAACGCGACAGTCCTCACGCCCAGAATTGCCATAGAACGGCTCCAGGAACACACTTCTGAGTTTAAACACTTCCACTGGCAACAAAATCCCCAGATATGAACACTATTGACCATGGGATGCCTTGCAACGTACTGTTCAGAAGAGATCTCCACTCCCTCGGACTCTTTTTAGTTTATGAACAGCCCTGCAGGATTCATGGGATCAGTTACCTCCAATACTAATACAGGGATAAGCCGAGACAATGTCACGTCGTGTACCGGAAACTTCGGCGTGCTCGAGGAATCCTACACGATATTAGGCAGGGTACCATTTTCTGGATCTTCAGTGCATTTAACAAGACCCATGATAATCTAATGATTGCCAGGAACATATCATCTGAGAGGTTTGGTGGTTGATATATTCAGATTCATAGTAGGGGAAAGGAATCGTAAGTATGTTCTGCTAAATTTTACACTTTTTGCAATTACCTATATTTCATTTTTATGTTTTTATGTCTTTATTGATGTGAGAGATGGCTCTCATACTTTTCTTCGTTTTGGTATTTGAAAATTATAACATTTCTTGTGAACAATATGTTATTTAATTGTATTTTTTATTAAAATTACATAAAAAGTTTTTAAAAAGGCTACTACTTTAAAATGTTCTATAAGTCACAATGAGCACCAATATGTACAGTGGTGAATACAAATGTGGATACACAGCAGTGCACTGAAGAACGTAAACAGTAAATTAGGGTCATTGTAGCTTAAAAAAGGGACATCTTCCATTTTAATAAGTGGGGAAATGATTCCACAGGATCAGACGCCCCGTCATTCACTCTTCGCACCGCGTCGTGCTACGTCAGTCTTCTCCCCTCCCCGCAAAGCCTCCTACCCCCACCCCCCACCCCACTTGCACTTTCGGCTCTCTCGCGGGCAGACGTTGGCTCGTAAGTGCAAAATGCCCGCGGTGTTGTGCAGGGCTATCTTAAGGGAAACACGTCGAAATTACACTCACATCGAAATTACCACACACAGCGAAATTACCACACACATCGAAATTACCTTACACATCGATATTACCTTACACATCGAAATTACCACAAACCTACGCTCCGTGATGCTCCACCAAAATAGCCGCAGATGGGCAAAAATTAAACGGTAATGAGACTTCCGAGACTTCACAAGGATCCCCGAATAGACGACAAGACTGCACGCGTGTCAAGAGAGCTAACAGGAACGTCAATAGAATTCCTCCCTGAACTATTACACACTAGATGTCAGTCTTCGTACCCCTCGATGCCACGTTGGTTAATGTTCTCGCTTTGCACGGCGCAACCCCGGGTTCGATTTCCGGCTGTGCGCTTTCCTTACAAATGTCCCAGTATCTGTTCCTGTGTGACGATGAGAAAGCACACCCCAGGGTTAAGACAACCAGTATTGACGGTGAAGGGATGTCTTCGTGCTAACCACACCAACCCTTTATCCCATGGCCGAGAGGTACAGCCACCGCTAGTCAACCATTGCCCGAATGAGGCTGTCGAGCCAAGAATAGGGCATGCTGAGTCAGTAGTCCACGCGTGGGGCATAACCGTGCTTGTAGCGTTGTTCATTGCATGGGAAGCACTTTTTCCAAAATTTCAGGGATAGGCGGGAAAATCATGAGTAAACCAGTTATGATGTTTATATGACTTACAGGTCTTGTGAATTTTGTAAAGAATACGTATGTACCTACATGAGTGCTGAATTGCAGATCGCGGGCGAATTCACATACGGACCCTTAGTTCAACCCATAAGCCTGAGCAATTCCGCGCCCCGACCAGGCACCTCAGCGACCATTGCTGGCTGGGGACTGACCTCGGTGAGTGCAGCTGTGCTTATTGAGGCTAGCAAGTCCGATGCTCTTGGATGATTGGCGACACAAAGCGCACTTTGTTTGCAGCACAACGGTTCATTTTCCACGCATCTGCGGGCCGTGCGTCTGAGTGTGGCGCCCCAAACGTCGTGCCGAAGGACCTTCGCGTTGATGAACGAGCGCAGGTTCTGCGCAGGGCCCGCGCCTGGCGGCGGCGCTGCCTGCGCAGGGGACTCCGGCGGCGCCCTGGTGGCTGCGGGGGTGCAGCTGGGCGTGCAGGTCGCCAGCCGGTGCGATTTGCCCGAGGCGCCCACCATCTTCATGAACGTCGCCTACTTCCGAGACTGGATTGAATTCTACACTAGAGACTGAGCCACCATGTCTTGGGGTTCTTTAATATTTCTCGCTTCTCTGCTCTAACCGTTCTATCTTTTATTATATTTTCTGAAGTTGTCATCTTTGATGTCCATTTATTCATTTGTCCCTTAATTTCTATTAGAATATACTCTTTGTTAATCAGGAACATGAATTACAAACCACTATTTTTAATCCCACTTACTTAGACATACTTGGACAGAGAAATTTAGAATAATTTGAATCTGTTATTTAATATGAGAATTAAAAAGTGCTAATGATACTTGTAATGTGTACTTGACAATATAATGTCCTTTGATGTGTCATTGTGCATTATTGAACATTGTACTTGCTGTCAAAGACTGTCAATAAATCTTTGAATATTATTCGAATACATTTTATGTACATTTTATAATTGATATAAAAAACATCAATATTTCTATTTAATCCTACTGACTCAAACTCCATTTCAATGTGTACACATGTATATATATATATATATATATATATATATATATATATATATATATATATATATATATAATATTAAGTGCAATTTTCATTATTAAAGAGAATATTTTAAAAGCATTATCATCTGAAACAATCCGACAGATAGAAAACCTCAAGAAATGAAATGAGAGGCTTTAAATAAGAATTATACAGCACGTACTTGCATAGATATTGGCAAGAAGTCAGGTCCATAAAAGTCCATTGTATTTGACACAACAGTATTTCATTTTACTGAATAAAATATCTTCATTATTGCTTATTTACATTAAATTGCTCACGTACGTATATACATAATGTAGAGATATATTGACAGAAATGTTAGCAGTACTGCAACTGACTTAGATTGATTATTGTTTCCGGACACCCTCCGGAGTAGTACATTTCACAACAGCGCTTTCAATGAACAATTTTCTAGAAATGGAAACGCTTTCTTAATTCACATTTCTTTTTCTTTGCATTTCTTGGTGATGTCCTAGGTGTATCTCTCAAAATATTATGACTAGGAAACCGTTTTATTAAATGTGAATTCAGCAAAACTTCTTTTCAGAATGTCCCGTCACAAGAAATAAGTTTCTTGATGATGTCGTGGATGTACATGATTATGAAGCAAGCGACAGTTGAATACCATAAGAATTTTCAGTTAGCTTGCATTCGTCTGCATTGCCAACATGTACCGTACTTCTTTCATTGTTTGCAATACATTATTTATCATTTCCAAAAGATTTGTTTGTAAATGAGGCACAAAATCATCAATAAAATTATCGGACAAGAGCTCATTACTATCTTAATTTATCTTAAGCAATATTTGTGAGCGCTGCTGCGACCTCTTTTGCAGACAAACCCTTTGGATGCATTCTAAACATACAAACGAACTCGGTGAGCACATTAACTTCACTGCCCGAATAGCTCGTTTGAAACAGTGCCTTCTGTTGCACGGGTTGTTGAACAGGTCTGTCAAACTTTATGCTCACGAAACAGCGTTCAACACGATCCAGATGATAAACTGTTATGTTGGTTTGCAGCGATTGGGAAATGCTTGAATTTCCAAACAATGTACCAAGAAAGTATCTTGCTAATAATGACATTAGTGTACAATACTGCTGACGTATTTGTGCCATGTACAACAATAATTCAATAACAATAAAATTAAAGTACATACATTTCTAGTACAAAAACAAAATAATGTTACCTCAATCGCAAGTGGTCATATTGACCTCACATAGGCGACGGAGTTAAATATTATCATAGGATAAACGATACAAAATACAAACATCGTAAGGCGGTGATTTTTCATGTCATAGGAATATAAAAAAAACGGGCTGAAGAGGAGAAAAGGAAAGAGTCATTCTTTGTAACGTTTCAGGAGGAAGGAAATATTAAACAATACTCAGACATTTTGAATATTTACCACAAGTATCATTCCGCGGTCAAGGTCAGTTAATTCACGTTGCGCGGCCATAATCTCGTCAAAAATCATTTCACATCATTCAGCGGAGATCACATACTGGCTCTAGTTATTTGCACATAGCTATCCGATGGTTTTTGCCACCCCAGTGTATATCATGACAACGTATTCAAAGGAACACATGCAACAGAATTCAAACGAATCAAGATAATATAAAAATGTCACGCGAAAACACAACATAACATCTACTTTCATGTGAGTAGTGTTAAAGCGGTAGTGTTAATTTAAAAAAGAATGAAAAACGTAGGGCGTTTAGTCGAGCGAATAATACGTACGCACGAATACGAGAAAGTAAAAGCAGTTGTGAAATTTCAAAAACATAGTGAAGGTTTATCTAGTTCTTTAAAAAGTACGTACCTATCTGTCTCTGCGGAAAACCAAGTGCCATTACCAAAAGCCAGAGAATGACAGTGCAATACATCAAAAACTTACTTTTTTGAAAAAAAAACTTTCAAGAAATAATTATAACAAATTGATATATATATATATATATATATATATATATATATATATAATTATTCATTTAGTGCATAAAATTATTCTCCCAATTATATTGCCATTTTCCCGGCAGCCGGAATTCACTCCCTCTCGTTGGTTTTCTCCGAGCACCGGAATCAACTTAGCAGTTACTGTTATCTTACACTAATTGATAAAATTAAATATGATGCTGAGGACTGTTTAATGGCAAGAAGGGGATAATTATTTATATAAAGATGGTTTAGTTGTAATATAAATTGGGATGGAAAGCAAACCATTCTGAAACACATGAATAAAACGCAATGTCGTACCAGAGAATGCAACCCAGTAACTTTCGGCCCCACGTACCTAGATACCCAATTACTCTTACGTCATTTGACCATTTTATAAAATCACATCTTGAAGTTTATTTTGCAATCTTTGATAGTAGAAACTGTAATTTTATGATTATTTTCACCATTGTGATTGTGATGTGAGTGAATATCCGAATGCTTAGAAAATACTTTCAAATTAAATATATGAGTCAAAATAACTGTTATTAGTCTTCTGATAGATGTGTGTTATATGTATGTTTCTAATTAATTAATTATTTATATGTGGATCAACGGAAAATATTGATCAAACTAAACGACATATATGATATCAAATTAAAAGCTCTACACGAATTAAAGAGTATGTCTTGTACATTTTGTGTACTAGAATATTTATGTTCATGAGTGTTTAATTGCAAAATGCAAGCGCCTTTACATATGGAGACTTAGTTCAGCCAATACATCTGACTGATTCCATGTCTCAACCTGTACCACCGCCATCGTTGATAGCTGGGGATCGATCTCACTAAGTATATCTATTTTTCCAGTTGTCAGTAAATTTGGTGCTCTTAGATAATTATTGACATAATTCGTACATTGCATCACGATGGTTTATTGCCTTAACTTGTGCGTACTGTGTTCCTTACTGCCCCGACCCAAGAATTCTGCAAGGAGACCGACGACAAAATTAACGAACATACTGTGTTTTGCGCTGGGTCCCTCCCGCTGGGTTTCTCTGCCTGCGGAGGCGAGTCAGGTGAACCGCTGGTGTCTGGGGGCGAGCCGGGGTCGCAATTGGGGGCCGTTGCTATTTACCCAAATTTCCTACAATTGTGACCAAAGTTACCCATCTCCGCAAATGGATTAAATCCTGCACTGAAGTCAAACCTTCATGGGCACGGGTTCTTAAATATCTTACTTCTCTGCTCAAAACATTTAATTTTTCATGTTTTTTGGTAAAGAAATGATATCTTTTGTTCAGTAATTTCTCACTGAATTTCAATTTATTTGTATACATCTTCTTCTTATGTACGTAATTGAGTCATTGTGCATTCTTCAAATTTGTTCCAGATATAAAAGTGTCAATAAATCTTCGTTTGTTATTAAAATTCATTTTAATATTGGTACCAACAACATCAATATTCCATTAAATTTTGCAGAATATTCTGAACCTTCGTCTCAGTAAAAGTTGCTAATTTAAATTTTAAAAGTAATTTTAAGAAAAATGTTGATTTTTAAACAAAATGTATTAAGAACATTGTCAACAAAGCTGATCCAAAAACTCAAAAAGTGGGAGGCCTGCCGAAACTCCGTGTTGTGGTGACCTGTTCAGCAGCGTTGTGTTCCCCTAGTGCACTGCTCCAGTTCTCATAAAAAACACAGGTTGATGTTGTACAGTTGACCTCAGCTATTGAACACTTAGTTTGGGTTCATTTGTACACATCACGCGTCCAACATGAACACTTCTATACTCTGTTCACATCTTACACATACGCTTCCCCTGGTAAGGCAATTCTCCTCTATAATGTTCGTTTTAGGTTTTTTTTTGTTATTTCAGAAGTTTCAAAAATGTAATTATTTGAAAAATATCTCATCCTGTTAATATACACATTTCCAGTAATTTGTAAACACGATTGTATATGTGAATTAAAATGCTTCAAATAACTTATAATGAAGACTTTTGAAAACAAACAAATTCTGTGAAAATGAGCTTCAAATTTAAAAGAATTTAAGCGTTATTTTCTTAAAAACGACTCCAAATCTTTTTTCAAGAAATTTGCAATTTTGGACGAGGTTTTGCTGTTATTTAATGTTCTTAAATAATATTTCCGTTCCAGTCTTAAGAAGAAATCGAAAATTTAAAAAAACTGTCAAAAATATGTTTTGGAAATTTGATCGATGGCAAGTCCTAATAACTCACCCTGGCCAAAGAAAAAGAGGAACTAATGAGGGAATGTCTCTGCCATTTTGTAACACTACTAGTTATTGTTACAAAACATGGGAGCTTCAAAGTTTAAAAAATATTTAAGTAACACCCGATTCCGATATTGAAACAGAGCTAATACGTACTGATGCCGAATAAAATATGTTGTAATTGAACATGTGCGAGGTCTACTTCCACCGATTTGTGTAACTATTTCCATAGGATGTGGATACGAAGAGGAGTCGACTGGCGACATTCAACATTGCGGCGTTTATGAACTGAGGAATGTTGTGAACCTGCAATGCGGCATTGCTGCGGTGTGCGGTCTCTACCGACTCGTGAAATGAAGATGAGGACACAGGAAGTAGCGATAGCGTGTTTCTGTAATAACTATTAGATATTAGTCTCACCTCTGGACCTTGTGAAGAAAGAAAAAAAGGGGGGATTTATTCGCGGTAGTTTATGGTAAGTGTCCCAGTTATAAATTTATGCATTGGTCAATGAACTAAGGTATAATGTCGTTTAAGTAAGTTATCGTTCTTGCTTTGAATCGATAAACATACACGGAAAATACAAGTAACAAGCATACTTCCTGCAAATATACGGCTAACTGTAATAATAATGGCACATGAGTTAGAAAGGATATTAAATCAATCTAGTAGGCACAAGAAAATGTAACTTACTTCAGTAGAGTTGCATAAATAACAATCCACATTCTTCATTTGCTTAATTTACACGATGCTTACACATCCTTGAGAATTGTTGCTACCTTCTCTAAATAAGAGACACCCAAAATGACTCTATTTTGCAAAATGATGTTAATAATGAGTTGTTTGGAATACCTTTTACTTTCTCGTATACGTCATATAAATATCACTCAAATGACGAAAATGACGATGTCGACATTTTGACGGAACGTCACACGTTTTAGGAAGTCTCCACAAAGAAAATTTATGTTTATCAAAAACAAGTCTGCTCGTCCTTTCTAATGATCATCCATCCGTTTGTGAACGACATTAGAGTTCAAACTATGCTGAGCATTTTTCATTAAAATGAACGCTTTCAACCTTGATTCATGTCCCTGCAAATGCCCCTAGGACATTTTCAAAATGTTCACCACAATAGCTCAAAATATTTTCTTTGCCTTGTTAATCAATAGAATAATGTACGCTCACCCAAATTGAGTGTCCAAATTTTAATAATTCAAAACCTCTGATATTGCAAATGTTCAAAAACTTTGAACCACCCCTTGCAACTTTACTCGTATTATTGAAGAGACATTTTTGTCAATGATTTACTTTCTTCAAATTAGATTTAATCCTGTATAAATTTTACTTTCCCGCTATTTGATATATATATATATATATATATATATACACACAATTACTAATGTATTACCGGTAATTAAATTTAGTATTATTGCTGTTTGTTAAATAAATATGTTAATCCGGCATAACGGTTATGCAATCGTGCCAGACATTCAAGTATATATTTTGGGGAGCACGAACGAGTACAATCAAATACAACCAAGTAGAAAATCAAATACACGTTTATTACTAATTAAAAATCTAATTATTAAATTTATTACTGTTGCCGTTGAATAAATAAATATTGTACTCGAATGTCTGACATGATTGCATAACTCTCAAATGTGGTCAACTAGATTTAATAAAGGGCAACAGTAATAAATTTAACTATTAAGTAATAAATTAGTAATAAACGTATATTTCGCAATATAATCGATATTATTTCACGGTGCTTGTTCGTACTTCCTATTACACATACTCGAAAATCTTGCATGGTTGCATAACGTACATTTCGACATAACAATATTTATCTAGCTAGCAGCAACAGTTATAAATTAAATCATTGGGTAATAAAATAGTAATAAATGTGTATTTATCTAATGGGTTTTATTTGATTGTCCCCATTCGTAATACCTATTATACATACTCGAATGTCTGGCGACAACAAAAGTTGTTCGTGCACGAAGCACTTCCAAACAGATGGTCGCCTGTTTTTTCGAAAAAACTGGACATGTCGCAATCGTTCCACTAGAACAACGAAGAACAGTCAATAGTTCACAACGATTTGTTTGCCAACTGTCTTCCAAGAAATCAGGAAAACCAACCGCCGAAGACGGATCATTCTTCACCACGACAATGCGAGCTCTCACACATCGGTTCAAACAACTGCATTTTTGAGCACCCAAAACATCGATTTGATGAGTCATCCGCCATATAGTCCTGACTTGGCACCGAATGACTTCTTTTTATTCACGTACGTAAAAAACAAACTGAGAGGTCAACGTTTTTCGACACCTGAAGAAGCGGTTGCTGCATTAAGAATGCATGTTTTGGAGATACCTCAATCAGAGTGGCAAAAGTGCTTCGACAATTGGTTCAAACGCAAGCAAAAGTGCATAGATCTTCATGAGGAATATTTTGAAAAACAATAAAGTGATTTTCGATTATTAATATTTGTTTTTGTTCTCTAATCCTGAAATATAAGAGGGAACCTTTCACGTAGAGGAAATATTATATTTGCACTCGTGTAGTCTTTAGTCCCTCACACGCATTGGTGCACATGCTCCCTACCCACAACGTGACTGAAAATTAAATTTAATCATTAGGCTATTAATAGAAAGTTTACCTAAAAGACATCAATGTCTCATAATTTTAGCAAAATATTAGCAAACATCAATTAGCAAATTTGTGTCGCAAAATTTGTTTATAGCCGACTGATAAATATTTCGATAATGAAAAATACGCTCCACGCTTCGTCTTACTTTTAGTAAATTCTTCTGATCATAACAAAAGACAAGAAGCTTCCGTGAAATAACGAAACGTTTCTGTCATATGAAATAAAAATAATATGTTCGACTATATGAGAAGAAGACTGTGTTTCTTTAAGAAAGGACTCATTCAGAATATGTAAAAAAGTCATTCGATTATTTTATTTTTAACAATGATCAAAATGAATGTGAAATGTATGTGTAAATCTTACTTCTGTTATAAACGAAATATTAAAATTTTTGTAATACCCAATTGGCGCGCTCAGACTTCGTGTTCTTCAGGTTACTACAATCGCACTCCCAAAGCTAAGCGCTTATTAAGCAGATGAACGTATCATTCCAAAATGTGCTTTTGTTTTATAGATGATTTGTGAGAAATGTCTTTGCCACAAAGAAAATGTATCTCGACCGTCATCTCCGTTAGTGAGAAACGAATGGCGTAAGTGGTTTTATCAAGGGAGTGCCTGAAATGATGCGCAGACGATTGGGGAATTGGCAAATAACGAGGAGTCCAAGGCTGACAGGTCCGACCTCTACGAAAAACATATGTATTTTAATCATATCGGATGTGGTCTGGTTGGCTTAATACCCGCGAAGCCGTTTTAAAAATTAGCCTATCCCTAATCATTCAACACCTATGATCTCTGTTCTTTGTTTGATTCAGAAGAAAACAAAAACATCTCGGTAATCAGCTGCATCGGAAAAGAAGGTTGATTCTCCTCTCCCATACTATCAGTATTGTGAGACCTTCATCGCCTGTTATAAATATTATAATGGTATTACATATTAATTTCCAAACTATTCATTTCAATCAGCAATCTAAACATATTTACTATGGACGAGGGTTTCCAATTCTAAGTTGAAAATGTCATGCAAATGGATTGTTTCCCAATCGGAAGTAGAATTAAAAATCAACATTTTAACGAAATTTATTGGGTTTTAATTTAAAAACGGGATAGTGAAGGAAAAGGGGTAACACATGCACACAACATGTTACAACAAGAGGTTTAGACACCGGTGTTGGAGCTGATCCAGGAGCGCAGGTTGGCAACGCTGGAGTAGACGCCGGGGTAGTTGGGACGGGCGCAGCCATAGCCCCAGGACACGATGCCCACCTGCTCACCATTGATCACCAGAGGCCCGCCGGAGTCTCCTTCGCAGGAGTCCTTGCCTCCGCTGGTGAAGCCCGCGCACAGCATGCGGGCGGAGATGGTTCGCCCGTTGTAATACCTCCTGCAGGCTTTGTTAGACACGATGGGCAGGGTCACGGACTGCAGTTTGTTCGCCAGGGAGCCTCCATCCTGCAAGAAACGCCCGTGTGAATTGGAAGCGAGGGCTTCCGCGGATGAAGTCAGCTCGTATCTACTTGGATGTCTGAAGTCTCACGTCCTAGGCAGAGGAGCCACCGTTTCGGGGGTAATGCTGCAACATTCCTGGGATTTTCATGTCAGACATTTTGCACTGAGAAATTGTTTCAGCTTGAGAGCCTAGACTTTTTTTCCTTAGGGCTTTTCAGAGAGCCAAGTAGATAATTTCCAAATTAGTCAACAGCGCTTAAAAGAGTACTAATCTATCTAAAGTCGAATTAAAAGAAGTTTTTGCTGGTTGACACTGGTTTGTGGCGTAAGGTTGCCTTTGCTTTTCTAAGGAAGCTGCTAATCAGTTACACACCGAAAACTGTCGCTACATTGACTCTGCCCATTAGGAAACAAATGAGCGACGGGCAGATAACCTTATCTCCTAACTCTCGTGTTTCCGCCATCTGTTATGCACCCGTTTTGTTTTGTGTGTGTTTGAGATACGAGGTACGTTGAGGTAAGGTGTTTTAATTTAAAAGAAGCAAGTTATGTTGTGAGTTCCCGACTCCTTTTTACGTACTGTTCTCATCTGTTTTCTAGTGTTCACATTCATTCATAAATGTATCTTTGTCCTTTTTTAAAATTTAAATTTACATTACTCTTCGCGATTGACAATATTCGAATCACATTGAGAACAAAGAGGTCACCCGAAGAATACTTTCTCGAATTCCACGAAAAACCACGAAACAACATAGGATGTGGTAATGTCTCACTCTTACTTCGCAAGAAGAAAAATACGTATATAGTCGTGTACCGGACAATGGCAATTTTCGACAGAAAAATCTATTTCGAAAGTACGTCTTTATTTTAAGTGGTAGTTTTCAAATCCCGGAAGCACGTTCTTTATAATAGTTTTCAATCTTGAAACATCATTCCACTCCACATACAAATTACACAGATATGCTCTTGAGATTTTTAAAGTGTTTGTGAATACTTGACCGCAATAGGGGAGAAACGTGAGCATTGTATTTTGTTAAGTAACGTAATATTTTTTTATCTTCATGTGGAGACTATCTATTCCAGAACGAGGTACTACGAATCTGATTTTATCTTTGTAATTTGTATATTTCATTAAGCTTTTATTTCGTTGTTTGAAGTGGTCATTTTAAAATGCCGTAAGAACGTACTTAGTAATTGTTTGAAACATCATTCCGTTCCACTCGAAAGTATCAACCATCAACTTCTTTTAATCGAATGAGAAGAGCTGCACTTACTGAAGTGGTGCCCCAGCCGGTGACAACGGCTTTGCTGCCAGGGGCGGGCCTGTGCTTCGCCAGGGGGATGGCTTGCACTTTGGGGCTAAATTCGAAGGTACCGGCAATCTGCAAATAATAACATACATAAACAAGTACTCTACATGTTTACAAGATGTATCTGCCAAGAAATTCTGCCAAGTAATATTGCTTGTACTTTCTCCATGGATCCATTTCTTTTTTTGAAAATGCAAATTTTTCCAGATATGATTATCTATTATAATTAGGAATATAATTTGGCTGAGAAACAGTTTCAATTCATCCATGTCATTGACGATTAACTTTTATGAACGAATAATTATCGAACATTACATTTTAAAATAGTCTATTAGTGAATTTAATACTCTTCTGTCCTTGTCAACGTTTTCCAAAGCCAGTACTGGAAGACTTACGCGAATCACAGCAACGTCGCAGTCCAAGCTCTCGGAGTTATACCTGGCGTGGCGCACCGCTCTAGACACGTTGTAGATGGAGCCATTGGCGTTGGGAGTGTTGCTGCCAGCGCGCACGGAGTATTCAGAGAGGGGGCTGAACAGAACACACCTTTTTGTTTTCTGGTTGACCAGATTGATAAAATTACACTTTGTTTAAGCGAGGTACTCACTGGATCATGCAATGACCAGCAGTCAGGACCCAATGAGAATTGATGATGGAGCCCCCGCAGACGTGCCTGTCGTTGTGTTGAAGTGAGATCTAGGAGCAAACACAGAATTCGGTCGTATCCGATATTTATTGCAGAAAATAAAAAAAAGTATTTTTTTTAAATATAGAATATAATGCGAACATTCTTAAATGGTACAATTGGTAATACCATTTCTTTAGAAAAACATTAAGAGGAGATGAAAGATGTACCCTTTCCCATGTTAAAGTGTTTTTAAGGAACATTTTCTCTAAAAGGAGCTAATAACTTGAAAGACGCCAGGAATATAGATTAGAGTTTAATATATACCCTGACTGATTCGACTTCCTATTCAATTATTAATTATTTTACTGAGAATGATTCATTGTAAATAAACAACATAATTATTAGTTCTTAAAAGTTTGATTATTATATCTTTCTTGGTTTGGGGGAAAATGTTCCTTTTATTTCAAAATATTGAACTTACGGATAATGGTCTGAAAAGTTTTCTAGCATATTCCTGCTCCATACGCAGGATTATCAGGATAATTCGCTTAGATTTATTAGATTTAGTCAGTCAAACAAGCAGTAAAAACTGTGGGTCCTAGTGGGAAAACATTATCTGCTCACGTTTTCTTGAGTTCCAGAATCCCTTCCCGTCATTAAAACTATAAGTAGTTGAAATACGAGTAAAAATTTAACATAAATAAATAAAAAGAAGTTTTAAAAGCCGCAAGATTAGCAATACTTGAAAAATAGTCGTTTTCGTTTCTGAGTTATAGAAAACTTATTTGCATCGGTACACGAATTGCAAGTATAATTTTTCTGCTTAGCTAACAAAATAGCAACTCGCCCTTACCTCTACTCCTACCATTACAAACAAAAGGAGACAAGAAACAAGGAGCCATCTCAGCATTTTCTCAATGGATCAGGAAAACTAGACTAAAACCTGATCGAGATAGGGGTCATTGACCCGGAAGCTGAAGAACATTATTTGTTGATTCATCCATTGTCGCTGCATTGTTTTGTTTACTCTTTCAATTATACTTTTCTTCTTCGAAATGCAATAACTAAATCGTGACATTGTAGCCAAATAGCACCCACGCAGAATGTGAGTCGCGAAGCGACTGTGTGCTGACAGGCACGCCCTCTCCCCTAATTGCAGGGTTTCTTTCATATCGAAAAAATCTACTTAGAATAGAGTCGAATCAATGAAATTGAGTTAATTTCAAAGTTAAAATTACACGGAAATTTTTAACCCCCCCCCCAAAAAAAAGAAAATTGATTTTTTCCAGTCTGAACCTCTTCCGACTGCCCTTAAAAAGTACAACATTTGAGTAGGGTGGTTACCTGGTAGGGGAAATGGGCGACGGACGTGGTGTTGCCACCGACGATGCGCCCGTCGAGATGGGGTGGTTTCTCGGGGCCACCCTTGTTCTCGTGTGGCATTGCTACAAAAGAAATAAGGCTTAGCACTATTGAACATTCAAAAAAACATTCGAGAATACTTGACATTCATGCACGTGTAGACTTCATATTTGAATTTAATTTTATTCGAGATATCGTCAGATGCTAGTGGAATGGATTTAAAGGAAAACAAAATTATGTTTGCTTCCTGGGAACAAGTCAGTTTTTTAGGTATAGTTTGAAATAATTTATTCATAATAATTTATATTTTAATTTACTTATTGTAATTTAAAATAATAAGACGAGAGGGTAATAAATCAAATCTCCTCTTGATGAGAATATCCTTTCCACCAAATTCCCACATTATTTCAGCGTTTCCCGTTTATAATTAAAGTCACGAAGAATTGTGAGCACATGAGCGAGTTTTTCTGGAATAAAACAGCCACACGTGACACATTTTGGAAGTGATTTTCATATTATCTAACTCCCCTACCCTCCTACAATATCCTTGTAACCTATTACATACTATATTATTTCTTAAGATTAAACGTGATTGTTGTTGGTGTGTTAATTAAATACTATCTTCATTGCTATTGAAAATAGGTTCAAACATTGTCCTGAAACTATAAAATGTAATAATCTGTAATAGAAAGGAGTACATTATAATGAGAAGCTTTCACATTAGTATTGAAACAAGAACGTCAATAAGTTATGTATTTATCAGTAATACATCTGTAATATAAGTTTAATGTATCGATTTTATCTTTCTCTTGAAAATAAATAATTTAATACAGTCGTGAGTCGTGAACAAATTTTCTGAGTATGCGAAACAGAGATTTCAGAGGTGTAGAGGCTCTGGTGGAGTGCGGACGCCGTGCCTTTACTAGTTTCAATATTTTTGTGTAATTTTACACAATTTACTCAAAACAATTGCTACATTGATCACATTACTATCCAATGGTGTATTAGGATTAAACGTCATTTCAACAACAAATTAACAACATAAAAGAGTACCAACTGTCTTTGTTTGTGAGAAATGTATGAGAGGTGACTAATTTTTTCTCAAAAAAATTTTGTGGATCCGCCTCTGTTACCGAATGATATTTTATACTTTTCTCGCTAGCACCATGTGCAATAATACTCAGTATAAGAATGTGACCAAAACTATATCCAATTTGTCATTTATTTATATCCTTATATTGAGAAAATGATGTGGGAAAGCAGTTCACTCAACCAGTCGTATTATTATTATTATTATTATTATTATTATTGTCGTAAAAACGAATTGAAATATAAAACTATAATGGCGCACATGTACATTTAAAAATAAAATAAATATTAGTTCTTTGTAAATAATAATAATAATAATTATTATTATTATTATTATTATTATTATTATCTCCTCTGGTTTATTTGACAAACAAACAGTCGCATATCAGTGCTACACTATGACTGTGAGCTATAAAATGGGAGTTTGAAATAGAGGTTCTCTGAGAGGTCACGTAATTAGATAAGAATTTGCAGCAAAACGCGAATTCACCGACTCTGAGCAAAGGTTGATCCAACTCCACGCTCTCTAAGACGCCTTTTCTCAGAATACATCGAGAAACGAGACACCTTATCTTGCCTGCTTTGACGTACACAGAGGTACGTGAGGAAGAAAAGTATTGAAGCCAATGTAACGGCTCGTTATAAAACGCGTGAACTGCTGGTGCCATGATAACGAAATATTCATTTAATATCTCCGGGTGAAATATTCACAACTGTAAGAATTACTAGATTTTTTTAATGTGCGAAGTGGGTTTATCTAGTTCATTTTCGTCAGGGTAAGTAGAGCCTCTTATAAACCCTAGGAGCCACCACTGATTAAACGTCTGTCTTGTTACAGGCAGACCTAACTACAGGAAGATGAATATTATAACATACCGCAGGAATAATGTCCTTTATATGATCGTTTTATGTGCTCCTTTATTTAATGGGTGTAACTAATTTTGGAGAGAAATAATGCTATTGAATCCTATGACACAGATAATATTCCTAGAATTGTACCTAAACGTGTATTGATTACAATAGTTGAAATTGATTGAGCCTGGTTATGTATAAAATACGCAAATTTATAAAAGACGACCGTTCGTTGATGGGCGCCATGTCGCGAGAAACTTGTACTTACCTAGGACGATTCCCAACCAGTACAAGTATGGGATGAGTTTGAGCATGGTGACGACTTCTAGCACAACGAGGCAGCCAGCTCCACGAAGAGGCATTTATAGTCACCGCATTTATAGGCAAGCAAACCACACGATCATTTCACGGCGGTGATATTCTCAGAGGTAAAGCGGTCGTTATAAATGGAAGTTGCACTGATTCTCTTGGGTTGCATTACAGCGGAAATAACTGGAGGTTTTTGTATGAAAATTATATCGCAACAAAATATATATATAATATGTTACTAAATAGAACTTGAAGCCTTTGTCCTGACAATACGTACTTTTAAATATTACCACAAGCCACGAGATAATATGGCGTGATAGATGAATGCTAGAGTAAATGCGGAATCATCGATGTGTAAATCCAAATTCATCGCATCCTAAAATGAACTTTAAGTAGAGATAAGTAGTGTAGAATAATGGTAAAGCAACGAAATAACAGTGAAAAGTGAATATATTTTGTTGGTGTCATGCGAATAATGGAAGGACACTTAACACGTGCGTACCGATATGAATACTGCAAAGGTGGGTATAGTGAACTGCAACGGTGCGAAAAAGAAAGCAGGTTAGAAATATCTGAGTTAATGTAATCAGACAGAACTGTGAAGCACTATCAGAATCAAAATCAACTAAGCATAAACGCGTGTTTAATGAATAGCGACTATGAAATCAAGTGTGCAAGTGGAACACAAAAACAAATAAGGTTGTTATGAGAAAAAATTAATGGTGCATGTGTTTTGCCGCATGCGAGTGAAATTCCGGGAGAAAGGGAGAGATTGCTGAATGTTAAGGTGACGAATCGTTCTCCTGTAGGGAGGACAGTCCTCCTTTTTAGCTTCTGTTCTTCCTCGATAAGTGTCCTCCTACTTGTCCTCCTCTTCGATATTTTAAAACTAATATTTTAATATCTGCATTGAGAGCTGCCGCGCCGGACTGTCACACGGCACGTGACGGTGCAGTTCGGAGAGATGCTTCGGATTTATTAGAGTTGTCTAGCGGGGAATTCCCGCCGTTTCAAGAGTTTCAGCTTCATTATTTCAGGTTTTTGGACAAGCGAGGAAACAACACTGAGTGTTGATAATAATTCTGCAGCACGTACCTTAAATTAAATATGAAAGATATTTATTGCTCCTAATGTTCCAATATGTTGTTAGAAAATTATATATTGGCAAAAATTTTCATTAATGGAAAAATACTCGTTTAAATAAATAATTTAAAGGTACGAAAGCACAGTTGGTGTAATTTTATTCGTTATAATCAAATGTTTCATTTATTTATGTTGTACTTTTTTCTTGCATTTTTTCGTCCTCCTTTTCATTGCAAACAAAATGGGTACCTTTATAGAAGTGGAGTGATCGCTGCCATCAAGAGGCTTCGACTGGCGTGGGAAAGCTTGCAGGCAACCGGCAGCATTCGCAGAGCGAGGGGGTGGCGATGCACGCACGTGGTGCCAAGGAGGTACAGAGGGCAGATAGAGGGCGCTATTTCGTGTGTAGAAGTGCGGATTATGATGGGAAGAGGCGAGGCGAGGCAAAGACCTTCGCGCCGGCAGAGGGCCCACAGCGGTTGAATGAGTGAGGCAAGGCGCGGAAGGGGGAGGGGGGGCGAGGTGTTTCCCCAAATTTCACTTTACGACGCTCCTATTCGTCCGATTTGCATGATTGTCACGGTGTTAGATTCACGAAGCATGTCGCCATCGCGCAATAAGAACACATTTTTTAATTTTTTCTCAAATTCTAGTTTTTCCTAGATGTTTGGAAAAAGGGCTTCATAGCGTAAATTCTATTTTAAAAAGGCGGCAAATGCCAATTTACAGATCGAAAATCGGATCATTGGATTAGACGTTATCGGTAAAGTAAATTTTACTTATTTTGGTGCTGCCACGTGGTGGCTACAAATTGTACTAGTGTCGGGACATTTAGCCTTAATATATTTATAAAATGATTACTTTCCTGGACATTTTCGCCTAGCTTTACATCATAAATTCAAAAGTGCATCAATGTCAATAGTTCAGCTACGCGCCATCAGAGGATGACGCCTGAGATCTACTGATTTCATCAATGTCTCGAAGTATTACGAAATTCATTGGGGTTTGAATGAGGACTCGTAATGTTCGTGAGTGAACGTTGGTGAAACATTTGAAAGAAAGCGATAAACAAACTAGTAAAGTATGTCAATGTGGTAAAGAATGTCGTGCATTGACCTTACTCCGTTTTATATACAGTGGCAAGAGAACATTGTGAGCTTGGAAGTATTTAACAGATGAGGTTGGTTAAGAATGTAAAAAGTACAATAACTTGCCGTACAGAATATATAGTAATGTAAAATGTACAATATATATAGATATCGTATTTTTTTAAACCACCTCTTGTTTTACAGAAATTTGTGGACATTGAATTGTTTGAAACAATGCAGAAACGAAAGACAGTTTCAAAACAGACTACAAAAGCTAAGAGATGAGTTGTCTCTAAAAATTCTGAATCGGCTACTTTGAGGCAAGAAAGGCATGCCGAAGTACACACTCGCACCATTGACAATAATACTGTTACAGGGGAAGCAAATTTGAATAATCCTCTAGGTAGAAGGGGAGCTTTTCATTATGTCTCACAATCCGATTGTTTATACAGCTTTCATGTTCAAATTAGAGTTAAAATGAAGAATGTTTGTGTATTTTGAGTTCACCCTATTGAACGTTTTCCTTCAATATGTGCAGGAGATTAGTGAAGTGTTATGTAATCAAGCATACATCCTTTTCATATTAAGACCAATCTAAGCTGTTATTCTGTAAATCAATTGCTCTCAATTAGTGAATTCATTCATTTTTCTACAAAAAAAGGCAAAAATTAATTGATATAAAATATTTATGACCAAGTAAATACAAACTTCTGAGAGTGCTTGGTTTAAATTGTTCACATGTCAATATACATAGTATATAACACTTCAGATCAATTAACGAACATAATATTGTTTTGTTAAGTGGTTCAATACAGTATGAATTTATTGTGTACACATAATGTACATGTTGATGAATCAGTATTGTTCTTATCTTGCAATGATATAATGAATTGATTAATATAATCAAACACGTTTTATACGACATGTTATTAGGTAATAGAAATTTAAACACATATTTTTGTCGTCTTCAAAATAAATTCAAAAACCGGCAATTGCGTTTCAGTATAGATATTTCATTTACTTTTATGATTATTGTTCATCAGCTCATTTATGACATCTATATCTATTACTCTAGATCTATCAACTAGCTCCGCTTAAAAAAGTCCCTTCAAGGTCACGAGGTAGTAGGAGATAAATTTTAAACCTTTCTTTATGAATAAGATAGAATAAAAAGTATAACAAAATGTTGGATTTACAAAGTATCAATTTATTGAAAGGACTTATGTAATATAGTTTAGATTTGTTTATTGTTTTTGGTTTTAAAGCGAGGATTGTTTGGGAGCTGTAACTCCCAATAAGAAAAATACAACCTTTTTTTATTGGAAAGTGAGCGAGAAAAACCGCTAATTTCCAAAAAGAATAATACAAGACAGGGCAACCAGCAGACTGAATTCTCCGACTGGAAAATCTTCTAAATGATATACAAAGATAAATAAATAAAGATATTGTCTGGTATCAATACTTTTTGTTCAGCTTATGATCGTTTCGATCGCATAGCGATCATCCTCAGAGCTAAAATGTGAAATACAAATATTATATTAACAGGTGTAGTTATTGTCTGCAAGATGCGTAAGCAAATGGCACCTGTACATACCTTGCGCTTCTGGACCGAAAACAAAAGTTCTGCGAATTTTTAAGCGCTGTGTCTGTTTAAGAGCAAGTCCGGTCCGGTATCGGGTGGGGTCGGGAAGAGGGGTGGGTGCGCTGAAAGGGTCGTAAACGCGGGTTGCAGAGTGAGATCTTGAGAGACGGTCGGGTGGAGCGAAGTTCATGTGGAGTAGGGAGGGCTGGGGTGGGTAGGGGTTGGTACACTTTTGTGCTAATTTAGCAAGAGTGAAGAGAGTTGCAGGATTTGATTGGTTAAGACATGTCATGTTCTGATTTTTGAGGAACATTGTTTATGTGTAGGGCTCTAATTTTATTCTGTTCTCAGTACTGTTTATCAAATTTCTAGAATTTCGGAAGTTTATGTGTTTTATGACATGTGTTTACATTTAGGTGATCCGTCAAAGTGTCGAGACTGTGGTAATGTTATCTTTTCCAAGCTTTGTGTTCTTTTGATTCTTGTGTGAATTTAAACGGGCTGTTTTATCCTATGTATAATGGCATTGCAATTGTAGCACGTGAGAGCATAGACTCCGCATAAGGATGTAGGTGGGATTGGGTCTTTAGTGTTGGATAGTGTTTTATATATTGTATGAGTGTTGTTGAAAGAAGTTTTAAGACCGAATTTATTAAGTATGGAGGCTATTTTAAGAGAAAGTGGTCCTACATAAGGGATTGTGAAGTATGTGGCTGTAGTGCATCTGTCAATTGGTGTGAGGGTAGTGTGTTTGAGGATATTTTTTCGACTATTAATTTGTCAATCATGTCAAATAGTCATAAAATATCATGTTAATAGTCACACGCTCAAAAATTCGCAGAACTTTGTTTTCGGCCCAGAAGCTGCAAGGTATGTACGACCCAGTTTGCTTATGCATCTTGCATACAATAACTACAACGTGTTAATAATATTTGTATTTCACATTTTAGCTCTGAGGATGGTCGCTACGCGATCGAAACGATCATAAGCTGAATAAAAAGTATTGATACCAGACAATATCTTTATTTATTTATCATAATAAAAAGGTATCTACCTCACCAGCGATCCAAGTAATATACAAAGACTGAAACTAAAAGTACATGTACCAGAAACCCCAACTTATTATCCTAATTGTCCTACAGTTCGGCAAACGTTCTTGACTTTGGCCTGAAAATTCAAGGATCGGTCAGATTGACAGAGTAATATCAATCACGGCATCAGTCAGATTGACAGAGTAATACCAATTTATGAGAAAATCAGAAGAACACTGTAGCCTCTAGCGTTTTTACAGACAGGCGTT